ATAGTTTTAAGTTTTATAAATACATAAAAATAAATATATGAAATTTTAAAAGTATTATATATATTTATAGAAGCTTTATTCTTACACCAGTCTGAATTCTTTCTCTATTTCTAGCTCTATCGATTGCCAAATGCAAATTGCATCAACTGAAACCTCTCCTTAGTTCCCATAGCACGCTGTCCATTTACTTGAGCTGCCTCTTTTTTTACGCTTAAATGGTTATTATTATGCTATACTCGACTTGCATCCTCTGCTTGATGTGAAACTGTTGCAACTTTACAATTAATAATTTTTTATTTATTGTAAGCAAAAACAGAAAAAAAAAACAAAAACAAAAACAAAAACAAAACTTTTCTGGCCCGTTGGCTGTAATTAATTATTGCGTAAGGCCAAGAAGCAATACAAAATAAGAAACAACCATGTTGTTGCTGTTGTTGTTGTTGGCGTACATCCGTCCGGGCATAAATGCCATCGAATGCGGCTAATTGTCAATAATGATGCAGCGATGCGTGGCAAAGAGGCGGCAACAGCATCCACATCGACATGGCCAGACCTTTGACAAACCAACACAAAACAAACAAAACTGCCCAATAACAACAACAACAATGACAGCTGCTGTTGCTGTTGCTGTCGCTGTTGCTGTTACTGTTGCATTTTGCAACATCGACTCTTACAACAAATTGCATGACATTTGTCTTTCTGCCTGCAACAGGCACTGCAGGGCCGCAACACGCCGAGGGGACAGCAGCTCAACTCTTGAGATATCAATTTTTTCGGGGCAATTTGTATGCAAATTTTGCAAGAGCTGCAAAATGCAACAAAATAAAAAATAAAAATAAAATTAAAAAAAAAAGCGATCAAGGCGTGAAGAAAGTTTGTTTCCCTAAACGATAGCTGAAAAAGTGAGGACTTAACTAAAAATCAGCAAATATATTATATAATATTAGAATATGTGGTTGTAGAATTATATGAAAAAAAAAAGCACGTATATGTATGTGATATATTTATTTTTTATATTTTTTAAAATTATATATTCAATCATTTTATTTGATAATAATAATATTATGTTATTGTAGTCTTATTTTAATATACGTAAAAAAAAGTAAATAGGTAAAATAAGTCAGCCTGAAGGTATTTGTTGCTATGGCTTCAAACGTTGTTATTTAGAATTAATTCTTTGTAACAATTAATTTAATAATAATTTAATTGAATAATT